TTTATATGTTTCCTTATCATACCGCTACTTTGCGGTTGAAGCTTTAAATTATTCCGACTTCGTATATCTTTGGTACGAGTTAAATAAAAAGAGAGCAAACGTCGGTTTTGCTCGTTTCAGTTTATGTGTTTAAGGATTATTTTCGGAAAATTTCCCGGAGAGAAAAAAAAAACTTAATGGCGAAACGCACATGATCAGTTTATTGGAGTTTCGCGTAAAGGAAAAGGTGTAAAGCAAAAAAAAAAGTAGGAAGAAAAGCGGAGATTGGAATTCAATTTAAACGCGGAGATCTCTTTAAATTTACGACTGGGATTTTTTTTCCACTCGAGGTCGGTAAAGGATGCGATCGGGTAATTGAAAGGAAAATCGACGTTTTATACAGAGGTAGAGGCAGGTGCGAACGTGTCCAATCGCCGGAGATTTATAAATTTCATTAAAGTTTTATGGGCTACGTGGCATGTGAACAAGGATACGGTCTCCACCAATTAACAGACGACTTTGGTTTGGCTCCTCCTCCACTGGAATCCAGTTGTTCATCTTCGACTTAGATGCGCTTCTGATAGGAAAGGCGGATATAAACAAGATATTTGCATGATTGATGTTCCGAAGATCTACGTTCCATCACTTCCTTCCAAAATGTTTGTAATATTCTTGGTTGGGCCTTTTTCCCATCAATCGACGCAACCATCAAGCAAATTTTTTTGCCGCAAAGAGGGCATCCAATATGAATAACCGCCCGTTTGTCTCGCGCTTATTTGAAAACTGAATTATATTTAGATTTTTGTTTGGATATTGGATTTAATGAGGGAAGGTAGCAATAATATTTATACACACACGCACATGCAGAAGCACACACGCAGACCAACGCTATTCCCATACACCTTTCTCCAATTTACTTTCATTCTAATTTCATTTTCTTTTTTTTTTCAGCAGCAAATAATAATTCGAAGGAAATTGAAAAGAAATTTTTGCTTTGCCTGTCGACGCCTTCACAACTGAGAAAATAAAAGAAATTCACGTGTGTATATCCATTGTTACATAATTTTCCTTCTGATTCTACTGGTGGCGCCATACATAGGCCAATAACCGAACAGCGGAGTCCTTATTTCAGCCAACTCTGGAAGGACACAAAACAAATTGCTGTAATTACCTTCAAACTGTAGATAACCGGTGGCAATCGCAAGCCCGACAACCGAAATCCCGTCTATCGAAATCCCGGCTGGCTCTAAATTGAAATAATTAATAATAATAATTTCTACAATAACATTTTTATGGTCGGGATTTCGATATAGTCGGGATTTTGATTAGTCGAGATTATGGTAGTCGGGATTTTGACATAGTCGGGATTTCGATATAAGTCGGGATTTTGATTGTCGAGATTATGGTAGTCGGGATTTTGACATTGTCGGGATTTCAAGCGTCGGGATTTTAATACAGCCGGGTTTTCGAACGTCGGGATTTCAATAGACGGTCTTTCGGTTGTCGGGCTTGCGATATAGACCCATTGATTTAATTTTAATGAATTAAAAACAAAAGACATATGGGTAATAGGCCATATTAAAAAAATGTTTCTTTATTGTTGCAATACACAAACATTTCTCGAGCAGTCATATGAAAGCTTTCCAACGAGTCAACTGACATCTTCGTGCTATCTCCGAATTGCCTGCTACGAGCTGCAGAAATTGGAAAAAAGTGATTAGGATTTTCTTAAAAATTGCTGTTTCGTTGAGATCCGAAGAGTTTTCACTTTTTTCTTAATTACGTACTTTTGTTGCATTTCATGATTGCGTAAGATGGGCGACACCCTTACGCAACTTTTTATGAAAGAAAAGCAGTAAGTTTCGATCGATACAAACAGAATAAGCAGAGATCGGCCGACAGACATTCAAAGAGCATCATTATTTCTATTCCATCAATTATAAAATTTGAGTAAATCGATTCGTTAATTATTTGGATTGAGAATTAAATTAAAATGCTTGATTTTGATAACTTATAGTAGGGGTCTATATCGCAAGCCCGACAACCGAAAGACCGTCTATTGAAATCCCGAGTGTATCGAAATCCCGACTATATCGAAATCCCGACTACCATAATCCCGACAATCAAAATCCCGATTATATCAAAATCCCGGCTATATCGAAATCCCGACTACCATAAAAATGTTATCGTAGAAATTTATAATAATAAAAGACACTGCTGGGATTTTGATTGTCGGGATTATGGTAGTCGGGATTTTGACATAGTCGGGATTTCGATATAGTCGGGATTTCGATACAGTCGGGATTTCGAACGTCGGGATTTTGATACATTTGGGATTTCGAACGTCGGGATTTTGATAGACGGGATTTCGGTTGTCGGTCTTGCGATTGCCATCGTATAGTAGATGTACTGATCAAACCACAATGCCGGCAGTTAGCTCATTGGGAAGGTTGTAGTTTTGGCTTTAAATTGTTTATTAGATTGTTTAATTATCACGAGTGGTAATCGATTAATTAAAAAAAAAGTCAATGAATTGCAGTAAATTGAAAAAATATTTAAATAAATGGTTATATTCATATATATTAGACAATTTGAATTTACTGTTTTAAAGAATAATTCTTTTGCTTTCGTTTGCATGCCATTTTCGAAAACGTTATTTTCCCAACTCATCTGTGAAATACCAAAGTTTGTTAATTAATTATGAAGACACCATTGCAGCTACAAACTAATAATTATGCTAATTTTAATGTGTGTATATTCAAGATCAACATCCATTTATAAAATTCTTCTGGGAGCTCAAGTTTACGAAAATACAGGCCATTATCTAAGTCGTTGTTTTCCTAATTGTTCAGAAAATTGTACATGTGTGTTTGATTGCCTGCACTTTAGGCGCGTAATATATTTTCAATATTTTTTATGACAACTGGCGCCGTCTGTTAGCAATATAGTAAAGGTTGTAGTTCGGGCATTTTGGCGTTGCACAAAATCTTCTTAAAAACGTTCTAATTTTAATAAACAAACATATCAGAATAGTGCTGGAATGTATCTTATGCTATTACTTCTGTATAATAATTTAAATGCTAATTACTTTTCAAGTTTTATCTGTTTAAATTTACACAAACAGAGAAATCTTTTGGAATATTCAGGAAACAGTCTGCAACCAAACATACATATAAATGTTGATAAACAAGTAGGAAAACAATGTCTTAGATAATGGCCTGTAATTTTTGTAAACATGAGCTCCCAGAAAAATGTTATATATGGATGTTAATCTTAAATATACACAGATTAAAATTAGCGTACATATTAGTTTGTAGCTGCAATGGTGTCTTCATAATTGATTAACAAACTTTGGTATTTCACAAATAACTGGGTGAAAATAACGTCTTCGAAAATGGCCTGTATTTTCGTAAACATGAGCTCCCAGAAGAATGTTATATGTGGATGTTGATCTTGAATATACACGGATTAAAATGAGCATAAATGTTAATTTGTAGCTGCAATGGTGTCCTCATAATTGATTAACAAACTTTTGTGTTTCACAAAGGAAAAAAGCGTCTTCGGAAATGGCCTGAATTTTCGTAAATATGCGCTATGCAAATCCAAATTTTATTAATAATTTTCTTATTAATTGACCAAAACTAACGTATTTTATAGCAAACGAATTCGAAAAAAATATTCTTTAAAACTCTAAATTCAAATTTTCTAATATATATGAATATAACCATTTATTTAAGACTCCGGTTCGAAATTCGTTATATATTTGTGTTCGATCTGTTACCTTTATTGCCTTTACCTGTCTTGCCGTATCTCTCCTACGTACATATTTTATAGAAGTCAGTTTAGTTTGATTTAATAGTTATTTTTTAGTTGAGTTAGAAGAAGTTCTTTATTTTGATTAGCACAACTAAGAAGAAGGAAGTTTTGGTTCATAGGGAGAAGCTGGTTAATTTAATTAGTTGGACGGAAGAAGAAATCCGAAGTATAAGTTAGTTTGTGTTCCGAATGTAGACAGTGGCTGGCTTATTGGCGCGTAATGCGGAAACCAAATGAAGCAGGGGAAGGAAGAAGAACCATTTATTTAACTATTTTTTCAATTATTAGCATCTTCTCTTAAGAGCTGCAGAAATTGGAAAAAAAAAGTGAATAGGATTTTCTTAAAAATCGCTGTTTCGTTGATATCCGATGAGTTTTCACGTGTTTTCTTAATTACACCAAAATTATGTAACAAAATTATTTATGACTCCCTGTGGGTCACGACCCACACTTTGAGAATCACTGATTTACATATTAGATTTTATAGCGAGCGGCCATATAGTGGGAATATATAAATTTCGGGTCTATATCGCAAGCCCGACAATCGAAAGACCGTCTATTGAAATCCCGGCTGTATTAAAATCCCAACGCTTGAAATCCTGACTACCATAATCCCGATAATCAAAATCCCGACTATATCGAAATCCCGACAGTGTCTCTTATTATTATAAATTTCTACAATAACATTTTTATAGTAGTCGGGATTTCGATATAGTCGGGATTATGGTAGTCAGGATTTCGATAGAGACGGGATTTTGATTGTCGGGATTATGGTCGTCGGGATTTTGACATAGTCGGGATTTGGATATAGTCGGTATTTTGAACCTCGGGATTTCGAACGTCGGGATTTCGATAGACGGGATTTCGGTTGTCGGGCTTGCGATTGCCACCGATAAATTTCAGTTTGTAATGTTTCTGTAAATTTCAAAAGTTAAGCTTCTATGTAAATTTATATCACTCATAATAACACTAATATGGACAAATTTCAATAAAACAATAATATCTATATAATTATGTAATATCAATGATAAGTAAAATAAGTTGCATATATATTGATGTAATTTTGTAAGCAATAGCGCCCCCTTTTGCATTATTGTAAACTTTTGTTCTTGCTTTTAAATTTGAATTTTATGTTTAATTATTAAATTACTTTATATATGATTTATATAGTCTGTACAGGTTATTTACTTGAATTTAGTAATGAAAAGAAAGGTAAATGCAGAAACGAATCTCAATTATATGTGACCCTGGCATCATCTGGTGGATGCTACGTGTAATCTGAGGAGGATGGTTTGCAGATAAGATAAATTAAAATAAATAAAGAAAAGATACGTCAGAGTAAATATGATGTACAATAATATATGTGAATATAGAAGATAAATGGGAAACAAATATGTAAAGTGAATAAAATGCTAGAAACCAAGGAAATAATAGAGAAGAAATTCAACAGAGAGACTCACAGTAATGTATTGTTAATTAGCTGCTTGAACTACAAAGCTGATATATTGGTGTGGCCATTTAATTTACAGGGATAATTGGTGAATACCAATTACAACATTATGGGAGGTTCTTGGAGAAGTATCATGAGAATATCAGTTCGTTTAAAAAGAACCTAAGATCTTTGCATACTGTACATGCAAAACCGATTAGTATTAAGGTTATAATCAATTCAATAGTTATCGAATACAAACCAATAACTATGTTTTTAGCTTGAACCAAAGGAAGATGTAGCTTTACTCAAATTGGTACATTCTGATAACAAGTTGCTGAGCAGGATCTTAGTAAGCTTATCATCAATCTGCAATGAAGTCAACTTGCTTACAGCTGAGGCTGATAAATTATTCAATGTATTCATTTATTATGGGGAAATTGAGGGAGACAACACTTTTGAAGAGCTTAGCAAACTCTTTGATTACTTACAGAAAACTCAATTCTTTGTTGATAGATCTCAACAAGTTATTAATCTAATGCTCTGTCAATTATCTGCAATCTTAGGAAAAGGTTTATCAAATGGCTCGCATGCAACATCATTTCCAGTAAGTTTAGTAGAATATAATCTAATTTACTATTCAACTAACATTTATTTTGTTTAGGAACTGATGGAGAAATTGTCTGAGTTACTTGTTTCCATAATTACTTTAGACTTGGTACTTGATTCAGCTACAATTAAGGATCATTGGTGTATGTACAGAAGAGCTGTTAGATCAATGTCACATAATCCTTCACAATTTAATCTTAAGCATGAAAGTATAAGGGCTCTAGATAAGAAGTTAATTGAAGTAGAAGCTGAATTATTATCAGGACATATTGTGCAGGTAGTAATTGGCTTCAAGTGTTTCATGAAAACATTCTAAAACTATTAATTTTTGTAGAGAACAATGGATAAATGTTTAGACGAATCATTGATAGTGGCTGTTAAAAATAGCAATTTATCTAATGAAATGATGTTGTACATTCAACAAATCGTAACTGAGCTTGAAAAAGATGACGAGAATATTGGTTTCACTAAAATCTGGTTACAAGCTAACGCTTTATTCGTACTACATCATACTCTTTACGGCAATATGAATAAAAAGCTTCTTAAGCGAATATTAGATATAAATAAAAAGGTACTTTTCTATTTGTACTTAATGTATATTTGAGTAATGGTTTGGTTTTTTCAGATATCAGCTTGCACTGTGTGCGGTAACAACATGTGGTATCCAGAGAAATTTCTTTTAAAACACATACCTAGTATAAGCAAGCAGATCGACGTGAAAGTTGTAATATCCAGCAGGATGACGCAGATATCGCAAAGAAGCCAAAACATAAACAAAGAGACGCACGCTCTCTGCATTCAAGTTAGTTGATATCAAAATGTTACTTTAAGTCTCAGTATATTACATCTTTCTTAATCCTACCTTTAACATGTTTATATGAAACATTTAATGGTAGGATCAAGGAAGTATAGGTAGTTCTGAGTTTACGTGTTTGTGTTATCGTTTTTGGCTATCAGATTGTTTGGGCGTTATTTTGTTTTTATCGGGTTACTTACTAATTGGTTGCTTCGTTTTCTTTTATAGATGTGTGAAATGGAGAAAACACTTTCGCTGCCGCGTTTTAATACAAAGATTCATGCAGTGCGAGCGAGTGCGTGAAATGTACCTCTCTGGTAAGATATTTCAAGTAGTCTGCAATGATGAATTGTAAATAACGTTTTAGTTATTTATGTTACTGAATTCATCTTTAACCTTTGGGATTGTACAATTTTTCATTTTTGTAAATGCATCGGATAATATTTAGGTATTTGTATTTACATACAAATGTTATATGTTAAGATTATTAAGAGGACATGAACGCAAGTTTTGTGCATGGTACAAAGGATTGCTTTTCTAAGCATGCGTCGTTGCTTGGCTATATGCTATACAAATCTACACTAGCAATGTATCATTCCACAAAGGATTGAAGAGATCCAGCGGCAGCGATTGTGTTCATTAGGAAGATCTGCTAACCGAACCGATGGATTTTCAGGCATGCTATTGGTTCATCGAAGTGGAGCGGATCGTAAAGGATGACATGAGCCGGTATAAAGTTAAGCAGTTGCACGAGACTTGCAACATGTTCGTAGATGGTATCAAAATTTTGAAGCGCATTAGCGAGTTCATCAAATGGGTGACAAATCTCCACGCCGACAACGGAAGACCCATGACTAAATCTGTACTGCTGGCACTATGTAAGCTAGTCGAAGTGCTGAAATGCTTCCAGTTTATATTTCACCGAAATATACTTCCATTATCCTACGTAATTTTGCTGATATCGCAGCATCTGAATCACAAAGCCCTCGATAAACTAGTCTTCATTAAAGTATGTTCAGAACAAAGACAATTACAAATAAAATAATATGGATATTATTTTAGAAAAGCTTTACTCAAGAGAAGAACTACAAGGAGCAACAACTAGACGTCCTATCAGCATTGGTCGTAGCGGAGCATGCTTTGAAAGGACCGATCACAGCCGAAAGGATATTGATTGCTAAATTGGCGCTATCAGCCAGTGGATTGGATAATGACAACTTAGCTGACGTGAGGTCAGTGATTTGCAGACTGGAGCTCATCTCGAATTTGGTTAACCTCTTTGATAAATTATCAAACTGTTCCTTCCTTTACTGGCATCAAGTTCTATTCCCAATGTACTTCTCAAAATTAGTCGAGGATAAGGCGAATTTAATCAAGTGTTATGTAAACATCTATACTGAACTCTGATTATATAATTTAATGCAAAACAAATTTATTTTTAGATGGTTTTGGCGGCACTAGGTGATTGCATGGAAGAGGACGTGAACGTGAAGGAGACAACAGAGAAAACAATTAAGACTAATTTATTGGGGCCTTTGAATCAAATGGTTGAGACGAACCTAAGACTGCAGACGCATTTGCATCTAAAACTTCCGCCATCGAATCCCTTCCAAAATTTAATGCCTAACAGCTTCAAAAAGCTATTTCCGTTGCTTTTCGGCGACTCTTACATCAACGTCAAACAGGAGGTGGAACACTATCTTAGCACGATGTTTTATAACTTGACTACAGTTGTTTTGCACGATTGGCGCACCTACGGGGAAATGCGTAGGTTGGCTGTCCTACAATATGATTTAAATACAGTGGAAGATAACCTTCCGGTACAGACGTTGGAACAAGGCTTGGATGTATTGGAGATCATGCGTAACATCAACGTGTTTGTATCAAAATACTTATATAATTTGAACAACCAGGTATTCGTTGAGGAATGGAGTAACAACAAGCATCTGAACACTATTAATATATCGCATGTTGCTAATTCCATTCGAACTCACGGCATTGGTATAATGAATACCACTGTGAACTTCACATATCAATTTCTTCAGAATAAGTTTTTTATTTTCTCTCAGTTCATGTTTGACGAACACATTAAATCTCGTCTCCTAAAAGACCTACGCTTTTTCTCAGAAAACAAGAAAGAACTAAATCAATATTATCCTTACTCGAGAGCAGAGAAATTTAACTTTGGTATACGAAAACTGGGTCTGAACGAGAACGGCCTCAGTTACTTGGATCAGTTCAGGAAATTGATAACACAAATCGGAAACGCTATGGGTTATGTCAGATTGATACGATCTGGAGGAAAACGTTGCGTAGCCGACGCTACTTGCTTCTTACCTGATTTGAAAGGTGTCGAAGATTTCAACAAACTAATTGATGATGTTGACTGTTCAGATCTTACAAAAAGAGCAGCCAACGCTCTTAAGCGCGATATCAATAATCTAGTGGACAACTTCGAAGAGGCTACAGAATATTTCAAGGTATTAAGTTAATCATAAGTAGTAGCCAATTCTAAAGTACAATTGTTTTAGCTATTGATTAATGTTTTCGCGCCAATAACACGCGATCCTCAGAATATACATTTGAAAAACTTCTACATGATAGTACCTCCATTGACAATAAATTTTATTGAACATTCGCTGACTTCGAAAGACCGATTGAACAAGAAGAACAGAGAAGGAGCTGCCTTCACTGATGACGGCTTTGCTATGGGTATGTTATATTAATACAACTATATTTCTAAAATCATAACTAAACTTGTGTTATATATTTTTTCAACAGGACTGGCTTACATCATTGAACTCTTGGATCAAGGTAGTCAGTTGAATTCCATCCATTGGTTTCAATCGGTCAAAGCTAAGCAACTCGGGAATAGGAAAGAGCTTGAACGACAGAAGCTGCAGTCGAGCAAGGAAGACGTTAAATTGCAGCAAACTCTTTCATTGACCGAAAAACGTATTGCAGCAATTGAAACTGTAATAAGAATTAATCTTTCTATACTTTCGTATACCTATTAATCTTATTCTGTTACAGGAATTTCAACTTCTGTATTACAGCTTCAGTAGCGCGAGGATCTTCTTTCAGACATAATGATCAATCGAGAGTTATTTTTTATATGCCATTATATCATATATCTATATACACATAAAATCTAATATATTTTGTGATAATAAGCGTCTTTATTAATTGTTAAATAATGTTTTGCTTTTAAAATATATTCATTGATTGTGACTGAATGTGCATTTATTTTATTGTAATCCCATATGATTCTCATATTTCCTTCCTGTTCAAAGTGATTGACTTTAATAAATAATTTGTAATACATGTATATTATTACACTTAACGCCAAGTATATTATTGCGTTCTTCTTCATTTAAACCTCCACTCCTTTCACGAAGCATTAGTTGTGTTACTTAATTGTATTAATGATTACTGAAGTCAATTCGTCGTTGTTTGAAGATCATCATCGTTTTAAGTGAAAACGCATTGTAAGGTTTATACTTCATTAACAACATATATTATATCCTTTTCTACTACCCATGTTACCATCTCCATTAAACCTCTTAACAAGTAATTGCACTAAAAGATACATACAAGGTCTTATTTATTATGTTATCAAAAAGACTTTTTAATAAACAAATAATATTGTTTATATGAGAGGAAAGACCTATAATAAATACCGTTTTATGATCTTATAAATACGATTTGTTTAAGTGTTTCAATAATAATTATTATTGTTTATAATAAATAGATTATAGATTGTAATAATATGAAATATAATATAAGATGTACATAAAATGAAAAAAAAATCCATATAATACTGTAATTCTATCACAGATGGCGCATAAAAAGTTAGTCAAAATAAGCACTTAGAAAAATTTGTTTCAAACTATTAAAATATAGATTTATAAGAACTATAGTGTATTTGTAAATTAATAATATTAAATATAGATATATTTTTTATTGATAAGTTCTGTGTGACAATAAGTTTGAAGAAATTTTTGTAAAATTTAATCACTCAATTGACTTTGCGAGTTTACCTCAGACTTGTCGCCATTTTATACAGCCTCTACATTTTCAACACGTTGAGTGCACGCCGCTCAACATGAGGTAATTCAGTTTTTATAGTTTAAAATATATATTATTGAGTTTAAAGTGATGGTAATGTGTTAAATAAGTTAGTGCACGGTTTAAAATTATAGAATTGCGCTAATATCCAGTGGTTTTCTCGGCGAAAAGAAAATGTTCAACTTTTCAACGTGGTTTTGCGCCACATGGTGTAAAAAATACAGTTTTGTTTACAATTTGCGATTCTATAATTTTCCATGCATTTATTTAAACCATTTGTCTGTATATAAATATCAAGAAAATCCATCTACAAACTCAATCAAAACATAGTTACATAGGTTATGTAAATTAATCTTTTCTTTGTTTTTCAGTTCTTTGAAATTACAGAAGAGGCTCGCAGCCTCCGTTATGCGATGCGGCAAAAAGAAGGTTTGGCTTGACCCTAATGAAATTACCGAAATTTCAAACACTAACTCAAGTAAGTACCATTTTAAAAACCAAAATCTAGTTTGCTTTAAACTGTATCAGGCAAAGCAACTTTTATTTAACAAATTTGTTACTTAAAACATTAGTTTGAATACATGCTATTTATTTAAAGTCTCTGTTGTTTACTAATATGTATGTTATTTTGTAGGACAAAACATCAGGAAGTTGATCAAAGATGGTCTTATCATTAAGAAGCCAGTAGCTGTCCACTCCCGTGCCCGCGCACGTTTGAACAACTTGGCCCGCCGCAAGGGTAGGCATTGTGGTTATGGTAAGAGGAAAGGTACAGCGAATGCCCGTATGCCCCAGAAGGAATTGTGGGTGCAACGTATGAGAGTACTGAGGCGTTTGCTTAAGAAATACCGCGTCGCCAAGAAAATCGACAGGCACATGTACCATGCTTTGTACATGAAGGCGAAGGGTAATGTGTTCAAGAACAAGAGGGTCTTAATGGAATACATTCACAAGAAGAAGGCTGAGAAGGCAAGAAGCAAGATGTTGAAGGATCAAGCTGACGCCAGGAGGCAGAAGGTTAAGGAAGCTAAAGAGCGTCGCGAGGAACGTATTGCCGCCAAGAGGCAAGAAGTTCTTCTTAACTACCAACGCGAGGACGAAGCTGCTGCCGCTGCTAGGAAAAACTAAATGTTAAAATTTTATAAAACAATTTCATATTAAAGTAATGTGAATGAAAACTGTATTATTATATAGACCGACCAACCCTCATCATATTTTCATACCACCCCCACTCCCGAAATAGTTTGTATCCACACGTTGTTATGGAAACTTCCATACAAACATCATTTCTACAAATCCAAGAATTTACTAGTTGGTTGAAAGTGTTTGTTAATGATGGAGGACCTTAAGTTTATAGTGAATGAGCTCAACAGGAACTTTGACACTGATTATAATATGATATCATTTGATTCATTACCGAGCACCGACTTATTGCAAATTCTACTCGATGTCCTTAATATTGTGAATGCATCAAATAAGGTAATTTGATGTTTGCTTTTAAACAAATTTCATAAATAATTTTAGTTGGACGTGAGGAAAAGCAAAGATCAAGCTATCATAGCCGCGCTAAATGCTTTGCAATTAATAAAATACAATCCTACTATACCGATTGATCCAATAGAGTTCCGGGAAGGTTTGATCAACGGAAAACGTAATATAATCCATCCGATCCTCTTCTGGATATTGGCTAATAGCGAGAAGGTACGAAAGCGTGTATACTTTTCGAAGTAAGTACAAGTTGTATAGAATTTTCACAACATATTTCGCAAAAGTTTTGTAGAAAAAGTTGAGATTCCACCTGAGATATTTGGAGATCCAGAAGTGGAGCAAATGAACCAAAATTACAATAAATTTATCGAAGAATTCTGGATTAGTTATAATGAGAATAGGCAAGAGAAGAAGAATGCAGAGGAGTCCATCGAGCTACAAGAAGATACTAAAAAAATGGCAGTTGATATGTCGTTTTTGCTACAACGATTGGAGATGCAGAACGATAAATTAAAGAATATACCAAATCGCGAAAGCCTTTTAGCATCAGTCAAAGCGTATCGCAGGGAAATCCAGCAAGAGAAAAAAATGCAAGGACAGGTATTTACCATTAAATTTTAAGTAGATCAACAACTTGTATAAAAACATTGACCTAATTTTGTACGTTGGCACAGTACGCAATTTATTGTTGTTTTCTTTTAAGTTGAAAGAACACAAGAACTTAATTGTGCAGATGACCAACGAATTGAAGGGTCTGCATAATGTTCTTAATCAGAAGATGTCTCGCCGTCCAGACAATGCTGATCCTCTGCAGCAAATTAGGGAGGAAGTTCAGATAAACAAAATCTTGGGAGAGAGCCAGTTACCAAAGGAACAGGAAGGGATTGTTATGGAACTAGATGTATTTGAAAGAGTCGCATTGGAGTCGGAACCTACACAAGAAGAGCTTGATATTATTAATGAAGAAGTATAAGTGATGTAATAATCGGGATTCATTAGACATAATACTGGATTTTTAGATGGAGGAAATGAGTAAAATCGTGCAAACGCTTTTAGCAAGAAAGATGACCTTGACGAACACAAATGATGACCAATTACTTCCCTTCAGAAATCAAGCAACTATGATTGCCAACAAAAAACAAGAGCTATCCAATTTCATTATGAAGGTGAAAAGTAGGATTGAGAACATTTTGGAGATGATTAACCAAAAGGCAGTTATGCTTCGGGAAATTGTCGGAGGAGACATCTTGCACGGTGATGAACTTAAGAATTTTATATCAAATTTACGTGAGAGAAGCATTGTTTACAAGAAGTACAGATCCTACCTACAAGGAATACAAGCCGAATTGGGAATCGTGAGCAGGACTTTGGATATTTTAAAGCTTAGTGACGCTGGCGTTGAGGTTGCTATTAAGATGAAGAAAGATAAACTCGAAGATGATACGGATTTAGGTCTTGATGACGTGGCAGAGTTGAAATACAAATGTAAGATGCTGTATCAAGATGCTAATAGTAAACGAGTTGAATCTGTTCGAGTTTACGAAGACATGACACAGCTTAGAGCTGCGTACAATAATTTCTTAGATAAATTCGAGGAAACGAAAACGGAATTCGATAACGCTACAGGAAATATTTCTAAGGAGCTAGAGACCATCGAAAGAATGATAGAAGAAAATGCAGAAGCCATTAAGAACGCCGAGAATGAATGGAAACATATTGTTAAGGATATTGAAGGCTACGAGATGTGTTTGGGCAAATACAGCGACATTAAAAATGGAGGAGTGGAAAATGTTCTTCTTCAACTTAAAGAAAAATCTGCGGAGTTGGAAAAGTCTAGGAAGGTCTTGGAAATGAAGTATGAAGAAGTTAAAGAACAAAAGGTATGAGACGTTTCTAAAATTGAAGATGTTTACAATTGTGTTTTTGATCTTTTCAGAGTTTAGAGCAGGACGCTATTGAACAGTTGAAGAGGATCAAGCAAATGATACTATTTAAGATAGAGATAATGCGATAGTTTAAATATTAGCTGGGATATTAAATTAATACTAATTTGTTATGTATTAAAAGTTATATTTCTATAAAAATTTTACAGTTTCACTCAAATAAATACATTTTGTCTTACCTGGTACTGGGAACCTATAATGAAACCTTTGTAAATATCTTAGGTACAATTCTACATTTTAACATATTAAGACACGTTGAGTAATATTTTCAATTAATCTATAAGTAGAGTTACATAACCTGATTGATGTAATAATTGTGTGTAAAATATCTTGGAAAGTAAGGGTAGTAGAATAAAAACAATGTTTTCTATTTTTATTGTCATAAATTAAACTTAATACAATATTCAACATTATTGGTCAACTTGTGCATCCATCATAGACATTTAAAATTATTGGTCATCTTGTATAACGATCATAGATATTTTCGTGATCGTGATTCACCGACATTTTACTTATCCAAAAATAAACCTTTCTCTAATCCATTACCATTTGATTCGCACTTGCATCATCGCTGCTCCTAAAATTATTGTTTCGCCATGATCTTACCCATTATCACTACTTGGCTGTCAAGACCTTCCTGTACCTAAATACAATAGTTTGATAATTGCTTGAAACCCTTAATTACGTGAAGTTTCTCAGCAAATTAAAAAAAAAATACAACAATTTCATACAATTAAATCATAACAAACAATTTCGATTTTGAGGCCCTGGGCATAAATATGAAATGGGACTCACAATGCAAACTAACTAACACTGCTTGGGGCCTCAAATTTCGCGGGGTCCTGATTCTAGTTTATTAAATAGTATTTATAGCTTTGAATGATCCTTACCTAGAGATGATGATGTTTGATAATTGATCGAATTCTATTGCATATAATTAAATTTGTATTTTATTTGTCTCGTGTTGATTTAGAAAAAATATTAAGAATCACAGAATCTTGTCCGACTTGTTGCCTGCTCCAATGGATAGTGTGTATTTTGGTAGGAGCTTATATAAATGCTGGACAAGGGTTGGATGCGTTTTCATCAATGTCGTTTATTGTACAATCATGTCTTCAGGCAATTCTATTTGGAGTTTCATTAAAAAATCACATAAACTAGTAGCCTATAAAATAGAATTAAACTAGTTTACATCTATATACAACGTTTAGCCTAAAACCGTACAGAACGGAGGAACGGGATCGAAAAAATTTCGGAATCGTATTGACTTTATACAGGTTCAAGTTTCAATTGATAGAAAGGTAAGAAAGAGTAGAGAGAGAGACAGAGAAAAAGGGTTAGAAAGAATTGAACGTAGATAAGACATATAATTGAAGTATAACAGCAGTTTATCAAGTAAACACAAAAATTGACATTTTTTTTATAATATTTATATAAAACATAAAAAGTCTGATGTCCAACAAAAATATTCCATAAAAAAATTGAACTTCCCATTAATTTCAATATTTTGTTTTATAATATTACTAATCATAATAATAGTAAATTTGTTTGCTTCATTTAAATATTTATTTTCGTAAGAAGTAAATATATTAGAAAATAATAATAGAAAAAAAACGAAATAAAAAGTGAACAAAAAATAATCATATAATAAATCCAGTTAACTAACAAACATATAAAAGTATACAAATAAAAAAAAAGGAGGAAAAATATATAATAGAAGTAAATAATAAAAACCATATATATATATATAAAAAAAACGAAAACAAATTCTTACAAACGTTTCTCTAAAAAAATACAATTGAAAAATATTAATATAAAACAATAGATGACCTATAAAATAGAGTGTCAAAACCGATGAGGGTCACATTACAATATATCTCTGGAACTATAATACAAAAAATGATGGGGGGATTCATATCAAATCAAGTGTCGAAAAGGAATTTGTACAAATTTATAGTTTCAGAAATACAAGGCGATCTAAAAATATGTTTGTATTATATAAAATTTGAGATGATGTGTTTCGCTCTTCTTCTCCATCCATTTCGCTTAATTGTTTTTTCTTCTTCATGGTATTCATTTATTCATAATATACATATATATAAATATATATATATATATATTTATATTAATTATTTTTAAGGCCATCTATAATCTACTTTGGTGCTAGTGAAAAATACCCAAAATGTCGCGAAAAGGGCAGCCAAGTGCACCCGTCAGCGCACGCGAAGGGTCAACAACAAATAAGGTATGAAACAATTGACTATATATCTAATTCGAGTCTGTAATCAGCTCGATATTGCACTAATGGTAACTACGACGACAGCTTGGCCCTGTCCAAAATTCCACATATAAATATAATTACAAAACTAAAAAGCTTATATCATTGTTTTTTTCCTTATCGACGTTTTTTTTTATCAGTTATTTTTTTTTCCTCGAAAAAGTTATAAAAAGTAAAAAATATACAACTTGAAACGTTACCTTACTTTTTTTTAGCATTTTACCTTTTCTTCCAATACAGTAATAAATACGTAGCTTATCTTTAAAAAAATGTTTTTTTTCCATCTTATATCATCTTTCTTAAAAAGAGATATTAATTTATATATTTTTTATAAATTGTTGCCTAGCAACCGAAAAAACGATGGATACGAATAAAATTATTAATAATAATAATAATAGAACAAAATAATATGCTTATATAACTTTTTTTTTATTAACGTAGACAGAAATGATTAGTTTTTCAAACTCTTTTGACTGTGCACACTTCTTTTCTAAGGAGTTTTTAAAAAGTCACTCGATTTTTTTTTTGCTTTTTCTTGTTTTTGGTGTGTGTATGTATGTACTTATGTTTCCGGTTTCGTTTGAAAATAAACGGAAATCGAATCTACGAAGATTATGTTACACGGACGCGACCGGAAAACAGTATCATAGGCGAAACAACAAAAAAAACACACTTCTGTATATTTCGGGCGTACAGCCCTTTGGAGACGTCGCATCGATAAGGTCGTTCCCTTAAATAGTTTTCAGTTACTTTTAGTTGAAATAAACAAATTCGCCCCCCACCCCGCGTACCCGAATGATTTAGTTCTTTCCGAAGAAACAAAAAAGGTCTTCTACATTGTTCGAGGTAGTGTCCAAAGGGTTGTGCCTATCTTGAAATCACGTCTAACTACAATTATATATATATAAGTATGTATATATAATAGATTTGTTTTTTTTTTCTTTTCTTCCTCATTTTCGTCATCATCTATGCGCCACGTGGGGCGAGCAAAAGTTACAAATTACACAGTAGAAAAAGGAGTGTAAAATCGTTACAAACCATAGCATACATTTTTATTTTGTACCATTTAGTAAAATGATGGTTCAGGTGCGCGCATGGGGAGTGGGAATCGGTTAGGGATTTTGTATTTTGTTTTTTTTTGTCCTGTTGATGCGGAGGAACAAATTTCGGATTCCCCTGTCTCCCCAACCAATCTTCACCGTTCATCCTTTTTTTATCTCAGGTTTATTCGCACCACTGCCTAGGTTATACAAATTTAAGATTTAAAAACCCTATGCCGCGCGCGGTCATTGCACGTATCGAAAAATTTGCCTAATCAACAGTTTAGTATAAAAATTCAAATTTAAAAAATACAAAGTCTTAGAATAGCTGATACTATATCATTTATACCGTATTTATAATAATATACATTATCCGTGCAGTTATCGTCCTCTTCGAAACGAATAAAACGATAAAGTAAAAACAAAAATATATTTGTATATATATAAAACTTGTGTCTGGTGTGTGTTTCCTTTTGGTATTCATATTGTTTTATTTTACATATCGCGTATCCGCACCGAATACGATCTCTTCTTTTCCCATTTTCTTTTCCTTTGCTTTTACATACATGTTATGTAAAGACGTCTACATTATCACACACGAAAAATAAAGTCAGCTAGGAGAGAAATACGCGTACACATAAGCAAGGGATAGAGGGAGGATTTCATTATTATTATTTTGTTGAAGGGTAGTAGGATTTCGGGGGAGGAAGCGGTTAGTTGGGCTGGCCGGGCCGGTCAGGTACTCGGAAATATATAAGGGCTAAAAGGGGGCTAGGTGTATGCCTCGAATTGGCTCCAGAGCCCCGTTAGCTCGCTCGCAGATTAGACTAGTATATACAATACCCTGAATAGCTTCCAGTCTGCGCGCAAAAAAGGACCGATTGTTGTAAATTGCGAACGGTTTTCGAAAAGAACAAACGAAAACAAAAAAAAAAACAATTCTAATAATAAAAGTAAAATAATCGTAATCATCGTGTATATATAAATGACAAAATAAAAAGAATATAATAATAAACAATTCATCATTATAATAGTAAAACGTATTAAAAAATAATAATAATAATAGTAAAAAAATCAGTTAAAAAATAATTACAAAAGTTAAAGTCATTCAAAACATATTTAACTACAGTAACAACAACACTTATTTAAACATTAATTTATAAAAAAAAAACAATAAAATTTGCCCGAATATCTTGTCAATCTAACTAGCTAAATTAGGTAACCAGTGGCTAAAATAAGACTAGAACATTCCTTGCACTTGAAGTTTTCATATATTACTTTTTTTAAGTTTGATTTCATTGTTTTTTTTTGTATTCAGAGGAGTGACGGGTTGTATTTAGGATTAGAGGGGAGGGGTTATAAAACTCGGTACATGAGGGGGTGTTTTAGGAAATACTATAGCATTAGTTATTCCTTTTCAGGGCTAAAATCCGCGTCGTCTTCCTCCCGGGCGTTTCGTAATACTTGAAACAAAACAGAAAATGATATATAAAAGAAATAATAATATTACACGATGCACCTGTTTCGTGGGGGCGTGGGAGGTAGGATTGAGTTTGTTGGGGGAGGGGTGGTGGTATAAAGTTTTTTTTTTGGTAGCAGTGGCCGCCTGGGAAGAAGTCGGCGCGGCTCTGGCAGACGTATTGCCAATGATATAACCCCGATGATATAGGTAGACACGTGTTCGGAATACGATGGGCGCGGGTCCTTCCGCCCTCCGAACTGGTCGAAGTCATTTACAGAATACGGATGGGTAGGACGACTTTGGGACTTGACTTACTAGATTTATATAACACAACAATCAGTTCCTGCGAGCAGAGAGGAGACAGTTCTTCACTCGTCCAACGTTTTCTTTTTCTTTTTGGCCAGTGCTTTTGAGTGGATCCGCTGCCACCAGCGCATTCAGAAAGATAACTGGTTACATATATATAATATATAGTATATGTATGTATATGTATAATTGCTACTAGATAATATATAATTATGCCTATGCAGAGACAGACAGCGACCTTTGGTAATAAGCTAAAGGGCGGTCGCTGTACTAAGCGCCCCTACGTTAACACCAGCGAAAAGGAACCGCCCTTGGCCTGTCCGCACCCTCCTTCACCAGGGGCTTGTGAAACTCTCTCAATGGACGCGAATGAATCGTCGCCCAGCAATTCTCGCAGTAGTACTACACACAAACATACAATTAGAATTGGACCCCTGCACTACCTGGCAGAAGTCAACGACCTGCACAGGGAAATCATACCAAACTCGCTTAGGTCTACTTAAGAGATGGATAACTAAGTCTTTGCCTCCCTCTTATGCACAGTGTGTTCTATTTAGAGACCTTTTTAAATCTTGATAACTAAACCGTTATATGCTACTACCATATATGTCTGCGGATCAATGACCTTAAGGGACCACCCATCGATTGATCCCACACTCAAATTACTGATAGTTTTGAAAAATTCTTTAAAAAACTACATTGCTTCACTGCTTGCATGTTTGTGTTCGCAGAAATTACACTAAGCGAAAATCAATATTTCAAACATTAACACGTGATGAAAGAAAATGTAAAGTGATTTCAGTTACAAATCTAATGTTTACATAATGATTCACAAAAAATTGTAGTGCATTATTCAGAATATTATTTTATTATTAATAAAACTACTGCTACTACTAATAATAAATTGCTTTGTAAAATTTTAATTATTTATATTTTAATTAAGTAGTTAATTTTAATTAGATAGTCTGTAATTTTTTTAACTACATATAAATCTATAACTTGGTGAAACTTAAATCTTCTTATATTAAACAAAATAAAATGCAAGATTTGATTAATACTTTAAAATATAGTGATTTGTATACTAATTTAGTAATTAATGATGAAATATATATATAAATGTACTATATATGTACTATAAGAAAAAGGCGCATAATGAACTAACAAATCAATTGAAATCAAAATTAAACATGTTTGCATTTGAAATATTTAGCGCGGTTTATAATCAATAACTTGAACATAATTTCTGTAGTAAATCTCGGCTAATCAAATCAGTACATGACAACTTAATTGGAATTTTAAAATATAATTGGTTTAATTGACAATCTATAACAATTACGGTGTTGTTCAAGTAAACGTGAATGTTGATTTAAGTTTATTATGATTTGATTTAATTTGATGTAACTTTCAGAGAAATACGTGATTAAATATATAAAAGTTGCTTGACCTTAGAGACAGATAAAAAAAATCAATAAATAGAGCGTAATCGATGATGTGTGAATCAGAGATAGTGAGCAACGGCTCGAAGGGAAGCAAAGGCTTAGTTTGAGACCAGCGATTAGTTCAGAGGTCGGAGGGTAGCAGCCTTGCCATAGGAAAGTTTAAGGTGCACCTCCGCTAATTGCATTACACTTAAGTGGATGACTTACTTGAAGACAGGTGACGTTGGCGCAGAAGAACGGAGCGAATTTACCTCCGCATCGCTGCCCTTGGCACTCATCGCACATCTGATCGTCCAGGACGTAGGGCTTCACCTCTACCCTCTTGTCGATGTCGCCATGCTGCAGTTGCACAAATCTCGCACTGATAGCAGCAATATAGCTTTGTTGATTGCTGAAAGCCACCCGACCAGCCCCTTTCGGATATTTGAGTTCCGGGTCCGTATCGATTCCGGCGTAACAGACACCCCCGTACAGTCTGTCCATTATCATCGCTAGTTCAACTGCAATCAAAGACCAATAACGGTGTAAGTATCGGATGACGGAACCAGTTATTACACGGGTTATTACCTGCTTTCAAAGGACGCGGCACGCCACCGACGAACACCGTTTTCCTGGGGTCAAGCGGCATCGAGGCGTCTAAGACAAAATCAGCATCTGAGAGTCGCCACGGCCGGATCTGCACGGGCTTGTCTTTTATTGTAGGCGATGATACGCATAGATACAGCTTATCCTCATCGGTTATGCATGCGTCTATTAAGCTTTGAACGGAGTTCTCATCCTGTGAACAAAAAACATCACCAGTGTTAAAAGGGATATATGTTAGATGAGGATAGGTGCATTACCTGGAACAGCAAGAAAGCGTAACCCTTCGGAGGGAAGTAGCTTTTGCTTTCCGCCTTGTGCGGCCAATCGACAACCAGCGCACCGAACCGCCTAAAACTAGCTGTGATCTCATCCTCATCGATGTCTGGTGGTAGTCCACCTACGAAGACCTTGCGGGAGAACCTCTCGCCGCCTTCGGAGCCTTGGGAGTGTGGCGAGGATCTGGAGGGTGAACTCATTGGTTGAGCTCCACCCAAGGAGCCATCCACCAGGTGACTGGGTTCCTCTAGCAGGACAGTGCCTGCCTGCTCCTCGAGACCGCTGAAGTAGCCACCTTTCGCTGAAAAGAGCCGCATGCAGGAGTTTGTCGCCATCGTCAAGAGTGCGTTGCACTCGGGATTTATTTGTATTCGGAGCGGCGCACGTGCTGCGATCGGGGTCGTTGCACTTACTCCACGTGCCCCCCGAAAATTGGGGTAGTTTGGACAACGGGGCTTCTGCGCAACGCCGCCACCGCCGCACACATTTTATCGACACGCCGAAAAGCACCAACAAAATACTATAGACCGCTCTCAGAATATATATATATATACATACATCCATGTGCGAGTGTATATATATATATACGAGTAGGCACTAAAATGCTAGATAGGTAGATGGGAGTACTCACCTTGCAGTTGCGACAGCGATTGGTAGGCATTGGCATTGCAATTTATGAATCCTGAAAAGAAATGAAACAGAATTGATAAGTAAAGACATGAAGTCGTTGCACCCGATTGGTCAATATTAGGGCAAAAGCGAACCCGCTATTTGCGTAAAGGATAATTATAGTGCGTGCCTAAAAATAGGCATTAAATATGCGCGCAACACACACATATACATATATACGCACACCCATACATACACGAACGGCTCTCCGAAATGTCCGCAATCGATCGCTTTCATTAATATTCGCTGCATTCAAATTTCGTCTGACATTGCGAAAGCACTACTATAAAAAAGCTACACGCAGACATTCAATCTATATGGAAAGAAATTATATAACTACTTTCTTGCTGTTACAAAACATTTGTTGCAAAGTGACATTTCAAGCCTATTTGCATTCCATTAATTCGAAACAAAGAAAAAGTTCGTTTTTTTTCGTATATAAAAATATATATGTGTTGTTTTTTTTCCTCTCTTCTATTTCGAGTTACGTGCACATGTTTCGAACCCCCTACCCCGAATCGAAGAACATGTGCTGGGCCGAGAAGCTCACGCGTACCGCATGAGGTGGTCTCCGGGGGTTGGTGGCCTCCGCCCGGCGCAATCAGGACGATAATTGTTGCAGGATCCCGGAATCCAGGATAGCAGGTCGAAGCGAAAGGGTGCATATTAAAGGTCGGGCGGAATGTGCTGGAGGCGCACGGGGGCGGCTATCGATCGGGTCAGCGCGCGCGCGTTCTCGCACGCCACCCCGCCTCACCGCTACAACCCCCTCGCCCGATTTTGGGACGGTGCAATGCATGGAATGCAACAACCGTTGTTTTGTGCTCGCTATTTTGTTGACAAATATTTGCGAATTAATATTATCCCATAATTGTATACAAATTAATTATTGTTTACTAGACTATTTTCAATGCTTCGAAATTATAAACATACAAAAGTCAATAAAATGTACAATAACATTTAGATAATCAATATTCATAAATTTGAGATTTTCTTCATTTTCTTTAAATATTGTTAATAAAAAATATTTACAACTATAACAAAATTGATTGTAAAACATAATTTCATAAATAATTATATGAATTAAAAATAATTCAATAGAAAACATACAAAAATGTGTTAATTCTTTATTCAAATCTAAAGATAATCAATAGTTACCTATAATAATCAAAGTTCAATCATTGCATGTGCATGGGCTACTTGTTTGTTTTTCAAGCATATAAATGAGGATGACAGAACAAAAACTAAGTATTATCAGTATACTGTAATTCATAAAGAAATGAATCAAATTCAAAGTAAGTGCGCTTATTTTGTATTATTAAGTCCTCTGTCCATAATTAGTAAAAACAAAGTAAGTTATGTTTAGTAAGAAATGTTCATTATATCAATAAACATTGTATTAAGTGAATCAAACTTCAGAAGATTTTTTTTTAAATGGAAAATAACCGCATTCTGAAACACCTGAATTGAAATCACCTGCCACCCAAAATGCCTTTTATATGGTTGTTTTCACTAAAAATACGGGTATTGCAACTCAACTTGCCCTAAATAAAATAAAATAATAGGAATTTGTGTTTTGTAAAGAATAAAATATTTTGTAAATTATATCTAAATTTGAAGTGTTTATATTGTAGATTTGCAATTCATAAAATCAATTTTGAATTCCGAACGCTCTGCATGAGTTTACAGTGATTTGTTTACTTTTCCGTTGATCGCGCGGAGAATGGACACAGAACAAAGTGTAGAAAGAGAAAACAGCAGAATTTTACATATGTTAAGTAACTCAAGTGACCGGAGGCGTCTCACAATTCGGACCAGGGCGATTCGTAAAAAAATGCGTTTTATGTAACGCCTTCGATTCCTTACACATTGATCGAAATATTTAAAAAAAAAAATAAGAAAACGTGAAATTAAAAAAAAAGAAACTGTAATAAAATAAGAGTTTACGCGTTGGGTAACCGATATTCGTAAAATGCAACCATTTCCAATCGGTTCGTTTCACAAATTAGCTCAGTTTCCTGGCGAATGCATTTCGATTAAATGAAGGTATATATATATATAAATATATACATATATTAAAAAAAAGAAACCGAGAATTTAGTCGTTAGGTAACCGAAATAAATAATAATGGCTGTGGAATGATTATATAAAAATGATGTAAAAAAAATGTGTGTGTATTGGGATTGTGGTCTGCGTTGCAGCGTACCGGAACAGGCCGTTGCCCTTCGCACGCCACGGGATTGAAAAACCGGAAGCGACCACTTTACGATCGTTTGGCCGAAGTGCAGCGGTGGTAGAAAAGCAGCAGCAGATCGCCATCGTCGTCATAGGATGGACGGAATCAAGAAACATCAATGGGTGCAATTGTCGTCCTATTCCCATTCATTCATTACTAGCTTTGAGTGGCATGTGATGTGGGGATCGCAATTGAATTGGCACGGACGAATGGCGAAATCGTCCATCAAAAATTGGTGTCATTTTCATGTTAATAATAATGCCCGGTCGCATCGTATCGCATCGCCGATAATACAAGCATTTATCAGTTTGTTTTAAAAAAAATTGTATATGTATATTTGCCTGTGAGTGTGTGCGTGTGCGAATAACTTGTTTGTATGTGCTTGTTGACGATATTTGATACGCTAGTAATAATTATAATGTTGTTATTATTATTATATATTTTTTGTCGGACATGCATTAATAAGCACATGGAAGGAAGTGGATTGGTAGGTATAGGTGTCCGGACTTGAAGGTATGGTTCGGAATTTGAATTCGAATTGGCAGCGGAAGGAGACGAATCACGTGGAGCGATCGGAGGTTTCATAATAACGCGAAAAAGTTTCCGATGACTTCACGTGATCTGGTGTGCCCGGGGTGGTACCCCGCGAGAAGCGCGCTCGAAGACCGCGAAGTTGGACCTTACACTACTACCTAGTGCAAATTAATGTGATAAGCGCTCAAACCTTTGCCCAGATTATTGTTCGGAGGTATCCCCCAGGTTGGCGGCACCTCGGAGTGGTGAGTGGTGTCCACGGGGGATGTCCCATAGGCCCGAAACATCGCGGCCTCTCCTCTCGCACGAAACGTGAACGCGTGTGCAGCGCTGTTACAAACTGCTCGCGAATTTCAGCCGGAAAACAAATCGATGATGGATGGATGGAGCTCAGCTCTGCACGTCTATCAACTCTATCTATTTATCTATGTATCTAACGATATCTATCTGTCTATGCGTGTCTATGATGGAACGAGCAGTCCGAACCAGACAATGTCTAATCAAAAACTAAAAGTCCGGAGGCCGTAGCAAGCCCGCAGCCCGTAGTCGTGGAAACCGGGCCGTGCTTATTGTGACACGCGCGCGTGACGTAACTTAATTCGACGCGGTTTGGCAACGCCGCAGCGAACCGATCCACTGCATTACAACACAAACGGGTAACTGAAACTGCGCTCCGGTTACGCCGTCCGGGCCACTCCGGGTCGTTCCGGACCCGAAGGAACCTACCGCCCCCGAATTTTAGGGTACATAGGATGTAGGGCAAACCCATACATACAGAAACGCGCACCACCCCCATTCATCAACAGATCGATAGTGTTCTCACAGCTGTATAGCACTACAAAAACAAACAAAAATGCAATAACAACAACAACAATAACAAGAAAACGCAACCAATAGTTCGAAACCTTCCGCAGGAATCGTCTAGGTGCATCGCATTGCAATGGTCGACATCGCATCAATATTTGACTCCGCCATTCCATCAATAAAATTGTACATTTCACATCAATAAACGAACAATTCGATAGGAGCCTGCAGCAGATTTCATGCTCTTTCGACGAACTCGCTTTTGCTTCCTGGGCCCTTATTGATCTTAGGGTTGGCTGGTTGGCTATGACCCCGTCAGAAACTCTGCGAACTGAATAAGTCGCACATACGCGCGTTGCCGATTTCGTCTTTACTATATATTTTTGAATCCTCCAGTTTGCGGCCATTTTGTTGTACGCATTTTATGGTTCATTGCATGGACTATTGGCGAATTGATAATCTCAATCATTATCGAGATAATCGCGTTTTCTGTATTTTTGCAACATAAATTGCAACTAGATACTTTATCGTTCCGATTAACGACTATTCTGCGCTTCGTTTCTTTTTTTATGTGCTATGCTTCTTTTCTTTACCGACGATTTTTTCTGAAATAATAGCGATTTATTTAAGAATTCATGAGTCAGAAACGATTAAACCTGTGCAACAAAACAACAATGCGTAAGATCGTACTAACAACCAACTGCACCAAGGACAGCTGTTCCTGATTATCCTGCATTTTAATGGTACTTGGTGATGTACTTCAACAAGGCCACCTTATGCTTTTCAAACAATAGTCTTGTACAATATTTTAACACCTTATAACGAGCTCAGCTATTCCTGAACATCCTGCTACTTATTGCTTCGGTTTATCAAAACTGCTTTGTAATACATCTACGACTTATAACATTTCATGCGATTATTTCAATTGTATTTATACTTATTTAAATCATACTAGGTATTATTCTAGTTCAATATTTCAACATCTTAATACCTATTTGATATGTAGATTTTGATAACTACATTCATAAAACGCAGGTTTAAAAGTGACTTGTTTTAATACAAAATCATGCAGGTTTTACAAGAGCAGCGTAAATAATTGGAAAACAAGTACATACTTGACAAGTAACTTGTCATGTTATAACAATGCGTAGAAAACAACTAATAACCACTCTGGTCCTTTAAGGACAGCTATTCCTCATTATTCTGCGTTTTAATAGTACTTAGTAATGTGCTTTAACAAAGCCGCATTATACTTTTGAAATAATAGACTTTTTCTACGTTAGCAACAAACACTCAAATATTATATCCACTTATTGGTTAGATTAATCAAAGCTGGATTATACATTTGTCAAGCTATTTTTTGATATAAAAACAGATTAACATTTCCTGCGATTATTAAAAATGTTGTTTTTGTTATATTTTGTTGTATTTGAAATATT